TGGCCTATCAATTCACTGTACATCTCCAAATAGTGAAATCGGTTCAATTGCACTATAAGGATGCTAACATTTTTGTACTGCGCCTCGTGTCAGTGTGTCTGATATGTCACTGCCCTGACGTCCAATATCAAAACAGACCAACCAGTTAATTTTAAGCAGTGGTATTGTAATTCGTGTTCCCTATATCTCACTTAGTGATTTGCTGTTCGCGACCACCTGCTTATTTTCACCATGTTCTTTGCCCCCGTGTATGTATATAGACTACATGTTTGCCATTTCTGTTTGTATGTTGAAGGGTGTTCACCCGAAACGTCTTGTGTATTGAGTTTGTTGTTGTTGTAATTTCCTCGAGTGTTTTCAATCCTGTCCGTTATTCAAACCAAATATAAATATATATACTCAATATATATATACGTGGACAGAGAAATTAAGACACGACTACATGAGTAAAGTTGACTCTACAGTACTGTTTCGTAAGGTACATGGAGTACCTTAAGACTTTAATAAATAAACCACCGAAACAGACGTTATAAGCGCTGTAGATTGACATAGCAATAGAGTTAGTTTATGATATTGAAACTAGTTGTTGCATAGCAACGATTTGGCTCTGTGTCTACAGGAAGAAAAAAGCTCATTTCTTTTATTCAAACTACAGTATTGTGGTTGGAGAATTATACTATATTTCTCTCTAAATACGCTTGATCATTAAAAGACAATAACATCGATTATGACATCAAATGGAGAGTGTTATCGCGTGCTGCACCATATAGTACTTCAAGCAAACGTTGCAACTTATGCATTAGAGAGAAATATATTATATTTTTACTTTGTGAGATTGGCTATATGAGTAGAATGTGTGGAGGCCATGCCTCGAGCTTTTGCACTTCCATGTAAGTAGATGGTTTGAGAAAGGGAATGAAGGAGTCTCAGAGGCAGTTCTCACAGAGCGCCGAGACAAGAGGTTGACACAAATTCTAGATCTGTGTGCGTCTTTGTTGCGAATGTAACGATCCCTTGTACCCGGCATGAGGTTTAATAAGACAATAATTAAGCCATCATACACGCTTGGCAGATGTTTGTTTCGAAATCAGCACTTTACAGTATTACTGCTTAGATAAATCAATATTCCTCTCTTCAAACAAAGAATAACATTTGGAGTGATAAAGATATCACATTGCAAAAAGTGAAATTTCCTTAAATAGCTACTAAGTTCCACTAGTACGCAAACACGAAAAAAAAAACCAGAACGGTAAACCCACTTTCAGCTGACGTGTACGAATTTCACAATATGGGGGAGTATCCTAAAATCTTCGTCAAACACAAGCTATGATGGAAAGCAAAATTCAGATTTCTACAAAACAGTTAACATATTTTAAAAGAAAGTGATGCGTTTGAATAATTGAAAGCCATCCGCTAAAGAGATTCGCTCAAATTCAGCGTATATGCCTGGTAGAAATCGCATGCATAAGAACACATCGTTATATTAAAGATATTTAGAACACTTTTGCGGGAGTGTTGAAACCCAAATAGTCACCCAGTCCAAGAGCCAATCAGCGACGAGCTTTATTGGACGAAGAGTTATGTTTTGAATGAAACTGGACACAAATTTTCAATTTCAGTACCCAGGGATTTGTTATTGCGAATCAGCCACGTTAAAAGTGAGATACGGATATTAAACATGTGAAATAAGGGGGTTGTTGTGATTCCACCTGACTACCAAGCGTTACAAAAATAGAAATAATACCTTGAAATTTGGGCCTTATCCTCCTGATGTGCGATTATTTCACATAAAATTCTAATTCTCCGACATAATGGACGGCAAAATAAGAAAATAATGAAAAATTTCACCAAACTGGTACACTGTGAATTTTTTCTTACGTAGCCTACCATGCTGACGTGATTATTACATCAATTTCAATCTCAGCTTATTCCGGTAATCATTTTGGCAATATTTCAGAATATACTGAATATTATTACAAACAATTTTAATAATTATATATATTTTAAGTGGTACTGTAAGCTATGTATATGCATGTTTTGTGTATTGTACACATTAATAAGCAGATACTTTGTCACAACCATCTCAATAAATATTTGAGCAATAAGCCACCAGCAAAGGTATACCAGGAAATATTGCACAATCCTCGACATGAATGCACGAGCTGCTGACGAAAGCACATTTGAGGCGACGTGTACAAAATGGAGTGGTCTATATCAATAATTGTTACAATAAATCAGCATTTTTACCCGTTAGATTTAGCGACGGAAACAAAAATAAACCGGAGAACAATTTAACAGTAACAGATGGTTCTGGAGTAAAAACTAATGGATCCTGAATTTCACCGTTAAATTTAAACATCCAGTAGTTGAAAAATAGGCTCCTTTCCCAATCGTATCTTTTCGAGTATCTATGACATGAGGTTTCATAATAACCCTAGGCCTATTTTTTAACAGTGCCAGTTTCCGAACTGCACGTGCACCTTGCGCACCACTACACCACACAACGAATTTGTTAACGATAGTAATGTTCGCTCGTTCTAATTAACCGTGGCTGGCATAAATTAAAACTGTGCAACTTTCAGTCACAACAATGTTTTCCAGTTTGCGTTATCGGCATTTGCCGTTGGGTTATATGATTTTTTTGGGTAGATCATGAATATTCACAAGTTAACCATTATGCATAACTTAAGTGCATGGCTGTCACAACTTTAGTATGTATATTGCGTGAAAACAATGACCTACACTTCCGAAAGGTCAACGCTCAAGCTCACGTACGCGTGCACTGTACTCACGCATTGCACAAAACACGTTGTGGAACTGTTGTAGCATATGTCATTTGGGAATACGGGCACGATCCGTCTTTCCCATTTAAAGTTCGTGTATAGTAGTTACCATTGCCCATTGAATGCTTTCAAAACGTGTATATCTATAGCTAACTCTTCTGAGATAGAAAGTCCTCTCCGCGATAAAATGTCATCTCTGGTCGGACTCTTCATTAATTTCTAGAAGAGTCCTAGTAATTGGGCGTTTATCTCATACATACACTAAAAAGCAGGATTACATGAAAAGAACACTCCCATGGAAGTAATTTTATACTCACGTTGGTTAGAAGAAAACAACAGTCGTCATAAAACACAGAACAATTGTTACTGTCCGCGGAGCAGGATGCTGGGTTGTACTGTTTCTGCCTGACGTACTACGCGTTTCGAAAATAGAATTAATTCCCTGTAAAGGGGCGTAATCCTCATGATGTACGATTATTTCAGATTGAAAATGGAACATTCAGTACTTTTATATTTAATTAAAATTTGACATTTTGCCAAATCGGGGTCCTTGTGATACCGTGAGAGTTGCGAATTGTTCATGAACCTACCTATTAGAAATTGTGTTTTTTATTCATCGTTGTTGATATATAGGCTAGATTTATGGATTTGTGAGTTGAAGCTTTATTATCACAAGCTATGTAATCTACAAAAACACCCCCACTGAGTCCTGTAATCACGAGGGCTTTAGATATATGGTTTATAATATGCATTATGAGAAATGTCATCCAACCGATTTCGAAAGAAGCAAGAAAGCATCGACACCATTTGAAGAGGCATGATTATAACAATACAATTATGTTTGATTTGGTGAATCTATAGCTTCGGAATTTGCTGCAAAAAAATCCTGATTTGTATCAGGTTCTACCTACGGCGATCATCCGAATCAGTTAGAGGCGTTCTGCATACGATACAAAGTGTGAACGCAACTTTATGACTAACCATATAACCTCTATCGAGTATAACTGCACATGGATTACAAACTTTTAATTCAAAGACATACCCAAGATATCTATATTTATTCCATGCGTAACTTGCTTATCGCCACAGTGTGACGCAAAACAGGGCAGATAAAAAAAGCGCATCACCGCACTGCTACGTCACAGACTGCCGAACTACTTTCATTGTACACACTGCAAGAATATTGTGCGGAGCTACCGGACTATATACGGTCAAACAACTACATATTGTGATAATAATGTTTAATTTTAAAAATGGTTAAATCTAGCAAGCTTACGTGTTTATTTTCGGATATATTATTCAGTCCCTCTAAACAAATCGGTTGAAACAAAATTAACTAAAAAAAATCTTAACAAATTTGAGCAAATAGAACCAAATTAGCATACGAGTCGCGCGGACTGATATTTTTATATTCGGTGTAATCGGTCAATCTCGAATGTCACACGGGAAAAGAAAAAAATGGCTTCTTAAAAATAGAAACCTTTTTAGTAGAGATACCATATTGTTCACTAAGCAAAAATGTGACATAAAATCATCTGTAAAAAATCAACCACCGGGCTGACAATTTATATATCGTAAGGGAAATGAAGAATTCCTAAATACAGGTCATCAACTGGACGACAAGATACAAGAACGACAAGTCCAAATTGCCTCTCTAATTTGACCGCGGTTATCTCCCGATTTGTTGACTTTAGGCAGTCTGTGGAGCCATATGATTGCAAATTCGACATTATAATTCTCACATAACTTGTAAATGTGTAAATCGAGCACATTTTGCAAATGATTGACCAAGACAAGTGTTTAAACCGACTACGGCAGGTCGGACTTTGTCCAATTGTTTTCAGTTACAGTATTGGACTACTGTAAAACACTTTATTTTTGCTTGTAATTAATTTTCGCTGAAGGGATGATCCAGCAAATGTACATTTTTTCTTATATTTTACATTCAACTCGCCAAAAATCAGTGAAAATAAATTCCATACCTTATTATTACACCCAAAAAGTCTTTTCAGCGAAAATTAATAGGGTAAAAAATCACGCCAACGTACACTATTACCTATATATACTTTGCAACATAAATTCTCTACATTTAAGTCCGCAAAATAAACTCAAATTTGGCTACGTGTGTGTGAATCCCATTTTAAAGACTCGTACAACAAAAACAACACACAGCTACCATGTAGAATATCGACTATATAGACACGCATAAACTATACATGCTGTTTGAATATAACTTTATTTCTACATATCATGTACATGTAAGCGTGTATACTACTATAGTTGTTCGATTACCAGACACGAGTCGTAAAGTTAGAATCGGGGGTATACTACATCATGCATTTTAGCCATTGTGCCCTTACATTTAAATGGAAGGGTTTTTATTCCTGTAACCGTCACAATGAAACTGTGATAGTCAGGAACGTATTTGCAATAGTTTATTTTGTTTAGCTGTCCAGATCTTAGCTTATAACAGTTCAAATTTAAAGCCGCTTAATTTAGCCATCCTCTTTAATTCCTGAGCACACTATTCTACACAGATCGTCAAGTCCAAGGTTATCAGAACTTTACTTTTTCACATACTGTAAATATATTAGTAAATTGAAATGTACATAAGTTTAGTTGTTTATAATATTTACAGAGTTGACACACCCATAGGTAAATTTCGTAATGTTTAAAGACTTTGAAATAATAACATAGTGTATTTAATTATACAGCAAGTGAAAAAAAAAAGATTTGAATATAGCAGCCGCATGTAAAATTGGTAAGTACCGTTATTTTATAATACGTCGAGTAATAAGGCTAGAATAATTTATTTAGACACATTTTTACAAGATACAATGAGAAAAGTTGTACAATTCATGTGGTCTGTCGTTTATCGTACCGGACAAAGGCTCTGGCCAGTTTGTTGGAAATATTCTCGTAAGCTCCTCTCCGCCCTCTTCGTAGGACTGGTAGCGTTCGCGTTTTCCAAGTTTTCAAAAGCGGTACACTGGCATTCTGTGATGACGTTGATCTGTAAAAAAAAGAAGGTCCAATAAACAATAAGATGTAATGTAATGTAATGTAATGTAATGTAATGTTTTATATAGAAATAAACAAAATTATAAATATATTTTAATAATGTAAGTATAATCAGGACGGTCGTGATGAATAAATACATTAAACCATTTGAAGGTGATATCAACAAATCGTTGGTACGATATCCGTATTTTCTACATCACCAATATCCAACATCTGCTTTTTCACAGATATATTATTACTGTACATCCCTGATATATATTCTATATCACCAATACGTTTTCATATTTGTGCAATTTTATAAATCAATAATATACTAAATATTTGATACATTCGCTATATCAGCGACATATCATATCATATCATCATATGTATGTATATATAACTGATATGTTATATATCACCAACACGTAATACAAATTTACTTGGATATAGTTCTTTAAAACGTCTCTGTTAAATAGCCTGAACTAGTATTTATACGAATTCTAATCCTTATTGGAGACTTGAAAAATATTATGATTCATATCAATAAAAATGTATAATAACTGTTTTTCGCTCGTTAATTCTATTACAATTACGCAATTCTAATGCCTGGCGTAACGTATTAACACAAATATGAAATGTAACTTTCTATTTTGTAAACGTTTACAAAAGCTGAATTCGTCATCGAATAACATGTAGACATATGGGACATCTTTGCGATACTGGGATGTAGGTGGTAGCATATGGATTATTAGTATAAACAACTTACATGTGCCTCGTCGGAGCTACCATCTGGGCAGGTAAGATCAATTCGTTGAGAGGAAACTGTAGCAGGCTCGCAGCATAGATCGTATCCGGTGCTGCAACCACCGCGACACAGGCCAATGTCATGAGTGACACTAGACGTGCAGTTGTTAGCGTTGACCGGAGTCACCAGGAACGGTAATAATCCGCAATACAGCGGCTCGGAAACTAAAGACAGAGGAAAAGACGTAGAGTATTAGTGAATTTCAGTGTAGGGTCAACAACAGTGCTAGCAAAGCGGGACTTGATACGTCGAAACAATCAGTCAACAAACAAGCTGTCCTCTGATTGGTCTGGCTGGTATCGGAGTTAAGTAGCCAATCAGTGTGCACATTGAGGCCAATCAGTTATTCAGCATGATTTATCCAATGCATGCAACCGTAGTCACGAGCTGAAAAGTTCTTAACTAAACCAATGTAATTATCTCGTTGAGTTGGTGGATGACACAACTCTTGTTGTAATATAAATGTATTTCTCATTTTTTGTCTCCCTGTTATGAAACGTCCATTTGATTTCCTGATTTCTTCTACTGCGTTTGTCACAGATTCACGCTCAGGACAACCGTGGTACAGCAAGTATGATACGTACTTTTTTTTACAAAATGATAATTAAAAACGAAACACAGGATGTGTATATGTTTTTGGAATGCACTCATTTATTGTGTGGTAGGTTATTCATCAAATTTATAAGGAACAGGGTAAGAAACGTTATGTACCAAAAAATACGATACAGGAAAATGAATGATGCGTTTGTGTTATTTGTGTCATCAGATTGCTAAATTTTTACATATTCTATTATATTATGACTTGCCAGTGTCCACCATGTAGCATATAGGTCATATTGATGTCTTATACTTTGAGGAACATCCACACCATAATATAGCAAACAAGTTATAGATGTATATAAGGTTATTACGAGGATACATCAAAGTATGCACGAAGACAGTACAGCGGAAGTATCGATCGACGCGCAGTGGAGATCGATGCGACGGTGTACTGTCTTTGTGCATACTTTGAGGTATTCTCGTAATAACGTTATTATTGTACATCTTTTCCTTCCAAGGGTACATCATGAGAATGCCGAAATCCGAAAAAGTTTAGAACAGAATCAGCGAACTTCTTTGTGTGGAGTCCGATCAAATCCTGGTGGAAGCCATGTTTGTTTTTATTATTAGAGGGCGCTTACGCGTAATCATTCTATATTTGGAATTCGCATTTCCTTATATGGTAGGATGAACATACCCCAATGTATAATAATAAATATTATCACTAATATTGTTTTATTAAAGCGTGATCGATGGCGCTCGGCAGGTAACAAGCGCAATCTCTGTCAATATCACGTCTTATATAAATCCTTGTATCCTTGTCAATGTCATTGTTAGAACAGAATTCACTAATGCATAGTTATTTAGATTTAAAAATTCCAGACTTACTTTCAGACGTGCATTCTCCATATTGGACTAGAGTGATCACTTTCCCTTGTTCACATGCCGCTTTTAACATATGGCACTCCGAACGGTATACCTCCTTTGTGTCTAGATACTGCCCGCACACTGGGAATGCGTACACGTTTCTGCATTTGGGACATTGACAATGCTCCTGCCCATTGGTTCCGACAACACACGTCGCTCCGTATTGACATTGTAGCTTTTCACACTCACCTGACGATAAATATATATTCAGTTAAGGGGGTTCGATGTCATAATAAAATTGTACAGAAAAACGAAATTTTACTGTATTTTCGCGTATATTTTAACAACTTTTGTTTTTGTTAATATTCATTCGATGAGAGTAGATAACAACCAAAAAGACAAACGAACAAGCAAAGTTTGAAGGTTTCACGTCCAGTGACGTAACTCTAATTCAGACACACGATACATTGTTTTTACGTTTGGGGTAACCGTGGGAGAATGTACGACACATTTGTTTTTAAATAAGACAGACATTCATCTAACTTTCGTATTTTTTTAGATCGCATGATGAAAGTTCTATATACTTACATGGTTGCATATCTGGACAAGCTTTCGTAATTGTCAGAGCTGGGCAGCTTTCCCCGAGTTCATTTCCTTCCTCTCGAATGTGTCGTTGCCGTGTTGTCACTCCTCCTTCCCCACACGTGACCGAGCACGGCGACCATGGTTCCCATGGGCCAGGACGGCAATCTATAATATGACAGGATAAAGCAATAAAGCAATGAAATGACTGATGCAGGCTGGGAACTACTAGAACCATCTAAGCATGTATACTAGGTCCCCGAGGCATGTTTCAATTGACACAAATCTGACATCGCCACTTGGCTGTATGCTGACGATACACGTATCATTTATTTTAGCAATTTCTCGGCAATTGATTGTTTATGTATTGTTTTAATTGTACTGCGATTATGAACTTGTATGTTCTCTGCTCTACGCGACTTTAGCCTAAAGATTTAAAGTTGGGTATGCTATTTTCACTTTTCCATTGAGACAATAAGGAGTAAATCTTATTTTGGTGGCCATGATAATAATAATAATAATAATAATAATAATAATAATAATAATAATGTTTACATACTGTATATACATGCTCCGTCATACGCTTTGACAATCACCTTCCCTGTCTTACACACATGAAAATCTAGTTCACATTGACTGGGGTACGTTACCCTATCGCTACCACAGACGGGAACTGAAATACAGAAAAGAATTATTTGTAAGAATCTACTGGTCAAGTGAATTACTTGTGCGTCATTTATACATATGTACGTGAATGCGGTTCCCTACACAGACGGTCACTGTAAGTTTCCATTCATTACAGGCTTCATTTAAAGCGAAGGGTTCGTCACCTGCGCACGCGGGCCGGAAATTGAGTCCCGAAGCGACGATAACAACACACGTTAAAAACGCAAAGGCCCAAATTCGAGAACCCGATCGTAAATGGGATGCAACCATCTGCTATAGTCAGTAAAAACATATTAGTTTGCTGGTACTCGGTAAAAGGAAAGTTTGTATCTCGTTGATCGGCACATCCACAAACACATCGCCACCTTTGGCATGTTCACGGTGGGTCCACATATCATCGACTTCCCGGAAAGTGCACGTGGATCATATTCGATGTCAAATTCGTTCCAAGAGTGAGCGTGTGAGTCGCGCACATAGACATGGATGGCATGGATGTTGGAGAGCTTCACACATTATTAAACATCGTGAATTCAAGAAACCCAGAAAGAAAAAAATCGAGTTCCTAATCGGTCCAAAAGCTGAACGATTGTGATGTGAATACGGCTTTATTTGCTGTTTAATCTAATCATCTTCGTGTTTGGCCGTTTGTATTAAGCTCAATCGCGCTTATAATTTGTCACCATAACAATCACTTTCTGAGACGCAATTAAGATCGAGATTGAGATCGAGGACATACGATAAATGGTCCTCGAGCCATTACAACTCATATCATTGAATCACATGAAAAAAAAACAAAAAACATTTTTGTTTCACAATGTAATCCAGATGGAAACAACAAAGACTACTTAAAACGGCTTTTTCCCTTCTTGTTCTGCTAGGATGCTTCACTCCAACCTAACACAGGTGTTTTGCACATCTGCTTCAGTTCAGTTCACTGCAAGATCCCGCGTTATGCGTGAAATTGAACATAAAAACAGGACAAACAAAGGTCATAGCGTCGTAGTGGCAACAAACATCGCGTGGAATCCGACAAACGCGAAAATATTTTGAGGGGTATTTCCATGCTTAATATTGTGCTGTACACATTTGATGATGGTCAATTTCGATGAAGTACGGGTATTCAAACGCAATATTCCCCGAACGTCAAAGATCGGCATTTCAATACAGAATAAAGAAATTTGAGTTCAAAATCAAATCGTTCGATTTTTGCGGCAGACGTTCGGCGCGCGTTTTTCACGCAACTCGCGAGATCTCGCAGTTCAACGGAAAATCACCTATTGGCATAGTGTAAAATTATTGCATCGTGCAATTAACGCATCTCTACTTACCGGGATTCGGATCGGCCGGACACGTCATGCATTTACAGCGTGGTCTTCCAGTTCGAGTTTCAACAGTACACTGTGCACCATTACGACACTGCACCCCATCACAGGTAAATGTATCTGCATTAGAACAAATACACATTAAGGTAGAAGCCTAGTCATATACTCTTTGACAAAATTGGTCATAAATCGCATGACAATGTTCATTAGTTTATTATGTACAATCATGAAGCTAATGTCTATGGTACAATGCAATAGTACTAATATTATTTTGTGTGTTATGCTTTTTGAGAAACGAATCCTAATATTTCTTAAAAATTGCAGTTTTTGACACTTTTTAAAACCCAGATTTTTTAAATATTTCAAAACAACAAAAAGTACCCCTTCATTAACAATATATGACTTTTTCAGCCTATGTCACCAGGCTAGATTTGGAGATGTTGCATAATATCTTTGTCATAGAGACATGTAGTAAAAGTGTTATATAGTGTCAAAATGGTTACATTCCACTAAAATACAACCATCATTTTCTCGAAAATAAGGCTGGTGACCCCTAACGTTTTTTAAGTCAATATCCCAATATCCTTATATTGTCTTGGGGTACAATTTGTTGCAAATTTTAATTTATGAGTAGGCTTCTACCTTAAGCCATTTACATCTAAGTTCAATTTTCAAGGTACAATTTATGATATTTTACAAATGTGTGAAGATACTCAAGAAAACAGCCAACATATCGAACTGGTATTGTTATGTTTAAAAAACACACTGTGAAAGCAATGTGCAGTAACAAAGTCGATAGTAGTAAGATAACACAAAATCAAAATTATTCAAATTGGGTAATTGGTATGAACGTATTTAAACCCAATTCATCAGATCCACGGAGTATTTCATTTCATTCAGTCTTATTTGTACAGAACAGAACTGTCGGAAAATTGAGCTTGAGTACAATTTAGGATTCTGACTGAGATTTAGCCAGCCAATGAGATTGTTTTAATTTCAACCAATCAGCTCTTTTATCTGTCCACCAATCATGTACAAGGCCATATTCATTGTAACCATTCATGAACAAGGCCAATATTTACTTTGAGAATATAAATAGGAGACGTTTTTGGTTCATTCATAGTTTGTTCAATAAAGTCATCTATTGCAGTCCATACGCGGTTTATTCTTCCATTCCTGAACTTGAATCTACTCTTCTTAACAATTCCCACAAGAACAGAACAGAACAGAACAGAACAGAACAGAACAGAACAGAACAGAATAGAACAGAACAGAACAGAAAAGAAAAGAAAAGAAAAGAAAAGAAAAGAAAAGAAAAAAGAAAGAAAGAAAGAAAGAAAGAAAGAAAGAAAGAAAGAAAGAAAGAAAGAAAGAAAGAAAGAAAGAAAGAAAGAAAGAAAGAAAGAAAGAAAGAAAGAAAGAAAGAAAGAAAGAAAGAAAGAAAGAAAGAAAGAAAGAAAGAAAGACCAACACAACAAATAAACAGTGTATACATATTAAATTGTAACAAACTAATATGCTAAATATACAAGTGTATTACTCACGTTTGCAAGGACCGGGGTAATCAAAGCCAACTCCCACTCCGGTTCGACATTTCGTGAGGATTAAGTGGTTGTGACTGAGATACGTTTTCCCATTGGTTCCACACACAAGTCCCGGTGTGTTCATGCATGTGTGTTCTTTACACCGGCAATCACATGTTGGTAGAATCACACCAGTTTCCTCAGTGGTCATAACACATGCTCTTTTGTTGTTACATGGCCCGGATAGGTCACAAATCGCTAAAGAAGAGCAGTAATATATGTAAATTGTTTTTATATAATTTGTTGATACCTAAGCATAACGGTTCTTATAGATTGGTTGCAGATATGAGAATTATTACCTCGCATTCAAAAACAGACTCGTATCCAATTTCAAAAATCGATGACTGCATCGACAAAATTGGAAATGCACATTTTGTAAGTAAGTTTGATCTATTAAAAGGGTATTGGCAGGTTCCATTTACAGACCGTGCCAAAGAAATGTCGGCCTTTTTGTTCACCATTTGGATTATACCAATATAAAGTAATGGCCTTTGGCCTCAAAAATGCTCCTGCAACGTTTCAAAGAATGGTTAACCATCTTGTACTAGACATAAGTGGCTGCGAGGCCTATGTTGATGATTTAATTGTGTATAGTCAAATTTGGGAACATCACATAAAACAGCTGACTAAACTGTTTGAAACTCTTTCGAAATCAAAACTAACCATCAATCTGGTTAAGAGTGAGTTTTGTCATGCCACGGTTGTGGGCCGAGGGTGGGTCAAGCCAATCAGAGCTAAAGTTGTGGTTATAAATATCTTGTGCCGACAAACACAGGGATGATCACGAGGTTTCTGGGAATGGTTGGATACTACCGTAAATTTTGTACTATTTTTTCAGAGTTAGCCTCCCCTTTAACGGATTTATTTGTTTGACGCGTAATATTACAGAGCTCGTTTTTTGTGCTAAATGGTCACCGCGTAGTTATAAGATGAAACATACTGAGGAATGAAAGTCCAAAATGCAGGAGCCAACAAATCACAAACAATCAGAAATAAGTAAACAATCAAAGATGTAACCTAAATGCGAAATTTATAATTGTGAAGAAACTCACGTGTGCAGACAAATCCATCACCATGGTAACCGTCGTTACATCGGCATTCATAGTCACCATCAGTGTTGATACAAATAGCATTAGCACTGCAACCATGAAGTCTTCTACATTCGTCGATATCTTCGGAGAAAAAAGTTTTCAGTAAAATATGTTAGTCTGCTGACAGTTTCCGATTTTTGGTATATATATATATACATTTCAATGAAAAGCAATGTTGTTATTAAGCCACATCTCTGACACTTGTGTGTTTTGGTGAAACCGATCTAGAGACAAACTGTGTATATGTATAATTTGTGTTTGTGGGTTTGTAACAAATTTGAAAATATCAGGTTAACAAAAGATTACTGCAGGTTATGCACGACAGCAGTACGCTCATCGTACGAAGTGTGGCGGTTGTGGTGTAACATCGTACTATGCACGCAGCATATGTTTCAGTATTAACCTAATATTATTATATACATCTTTTTTTGACAATTTCGTGAGAAACTAAAGCCTGCAATGACAACGAAAACACATTTTGCGCTGCACGAACGTTTGCGTGAGTGACGGGATTCTATTCCGTCGCGCGCGTTAGCGCTTCCGTACCTATGTAAACAAATTGAACGTGTTCGAATGTGATGTCAAACACTTGGCACGTGTAATATATGTGACGTAGTTAACCCCATATAAGGAAACACCCGAACGAGGGCTGATACATTTTGGAAAGAGTGCAAATATGTTTTTTTTTTACGAATTGACAAACTAAATATATAATAAAAAATATAATAACACTACTTACCAACACACTGCCCATCAATCATTTCATATCCCACATTGCACTGGCATATTGCTCCACACGCAAGATTCAAACACCTGGAATTGTTACCGCATCCTTCAAATTCGGGTAATTCACACTCGTTCACATCTGAAACAGAAAATAAAAATAATTAAAAAAAAAAAACACTTTACTACATGAATTTCCATATTAAGGTTCACTTCAATTATACATTTCAACTTAATATGGTATTATGCAGTGACGTTCAATTTAATAATAACAGTGCCTACATCAATTATGCAAAATCCGTTGTTAATATACCATACATAGTATCGAATTACTACACATTGATACATAAACGTTCAAACCATAACAATCCCCAAACTCATGCATTACACCCGAAAACGAACGTTTGAATATTTGAATGGAAATCAGACTTTTTTGCAGTAATATATACATATATATTATATCAATAATTTGTTTTCGAATATATTTTGTCCGTTTCATTATAATTTAATATCATCCATATATCTTAACAATTTTTTTTTAATTTTAACATATTCCAAGAGCTGATGCCTGTTTTCTTTTTAACTTTTTAACTTTATTTAGAAACTTGTACACCCCTTTTTCTAAAGTGAGAGAGTGAGTACGTACCTTCACACCATTGTCCATGTGGATAGGTGACCAATTGGAATCCGCTGTCACAAATGCAGCTGAAGCTTCCCTCGGTGTTTATACACTGTGAATGGGCACCGCATACAAGCAGATCGTTGCATTCATTCACATCTAGGTACAATACAAAAAGTTAACTCGTCAATGTCCACATTATTCTGTTCATCAAATCAACTCTACATTAAAACAGGGGGGTTTCCATCCACTGTCATTCAGCTGTCTGAAAGAGCTCGAAATAGCATCAATTGTTATTTCAATATCATCCATTCAATTCCAAGCTTGCGATGTTTAATAGTTATCTGGCCAAAGAGGGCTGATATAGTTGTGAAGCATATATAGAGCCAAAAAGTCGATAGCTTAAAGGGCGGTCGTCGTCGCGCTGCGCATGTGCGACATTTGTGTTGATAAGCATTCATTTTGCCACGTGTACAATCCAACGTGCTCTTCTAATTGAAATCACAAGTATGCGGTTTGACCTGAGTGCGACTTGCACTAATTGCCGCCAAACCCCAAATCACCTAACAAATACCTAATTAAAGCTTGGTAACTTCACAGTTTGTCCTCGTTGATCTACGCAACAGGCAAAGTCGCCATCGTTGTTTATACGAGACCCATATATCTCGAGCATGCGCGGTGCGACGACCACCGCTCTTTAATATAGTTTAGGTGTGGGAGATACGACACAAAGAGGATACGTGCGAAGGTTATACAGCATACACAGTGGTAAAGCGTGTAAATGTGTAGAAAAAAATAAACATTAATTACCTAGACATATCGTTGGGTTGCCATAGAAACCGTCATCACACGTACAGGTATAGGAGCCTAATGTGTTGATACAGTGACTATGTTCTGGGCAGGACGCTAATCCAAGATCGCATTCATTTATATCTGAAATGGAATCGAAGTATTCACCATGACGATGAAGTACACAGTCACACACACTTAGTACACTTGTTTTGCATCAGCTTCACGTAGGTATTGTCTCCAAAAATAAGGTGGCAACGCGTCTTTTCCTTCGACATTAGTTTGTAGTTGGTGGATGCAACCGACACATACAATTGAAATATTGATTGAAATGGAATGCATTACTTGCTAATTGGTCGAACACGCTCAACTTGCCACCACTGACATATCCCAGGCATACACTGTGGACAGTGTTTTGATTTACACCTTTGTTGGTAATTGACCGTGGAAATAACACATCCTGTCAGAAAAACTATATCTTATGTTTTGGATAACGTGACCACCCTGGAATGTTTTCAGATGTTAACCTAACGCGTAATCCAATTGGTGTGGACCAAAACTAAAGTTATGCGTCTACAAGTGATATAATCTCTGCCAGAGAGGTTTTCATTTCGATCGAATCGTTGGCACAGTCACTCATAGTAAAGGTCGACAACGCTTTGAAGTTAATTCCCAGAAGTATGTTTTCGAATCGAGGGAGTACCAATCAAGAATCCTACACAACAACCTCTATGCAACATGAGATTGGTCAGCACATTACTTCAATAAACCCATCCCAAAATTCGTGCCTTGTAACGACGAGGCGCTTTTATCAGGTAAATCAACCGTCACTGAAGTTGATTGCTTTCAGTATGTTAGTCATTATGACGTAACAGGATCATTGTGTCACTAGAGGGCGGACTTGTGTAAAAAGTAGTCTGATTAACTGAGAAACGAGACTAGCAATTTGACAGAAACAAATAATATACATATATCCTTATAATGAGAGAGCTGGAAGGTATAGATCACTATGACGTCACAGCAGCATTCCGTCACTCGAAGGCGCGACTTAATATCAATATACACTCATTCTAATCATGAGGGAGCTAGAGGGCATCATATTGTCACATCTCCTATAGTCGGCATGCTTAGGGACTTCGGATATTACAACTTACCAACACAAGTGTCTGCCTGTAACTCATAACCATTCATACATGTACACGTGGAGCCTGGTGATTGGTTAATACAACGGCTTCCTTCAGGACATACGGCGGCATAGTACGAACTCACAGGTTCTTCACATTCGTTTATATCTAAAAAAAAGAAAGATCAAACGGTACTGCCTGCTCGGAAATTGTTGCTTTATATATTTATAATATGAAAAGGTAGGTAATCGAAGAAGTAGTGCTCAATTGGAGAAGGTATACACTAGACGCCAATACAACAACGGACCCATAGTGTAAGAATGTCTGGACGCGATACACCATGATACCATGATACAATTAGATATACCATCGTACATGTAGATATACCATCATATAATGTAGATATTTACAATAGTACATGTAAATATACCATCGTACATGTAGATATACCATAATATAATGTAGATATTTACCATCGTACATGTAGATACACCATCATTTAATGTAGATATTTACAATAGTACATGTAGATATACCATCATATAATGTAGATATTTACCATAGTACATGTAAATATAC